ATTGTTTAGGCCACTTTTGTAATACTGCATCTAATTCTGGTCTCCCTGCTATAGGAACGATGTTGTGAAACTTGAAAGTGTTCAAGAAAGATTTACAAGAATGTTGCCTGGACTGGAGGATTTCAGCTACAGGCAGAGGCTGAATAGACTGGGGCTATTTACTCTGAAGTGTCGGATGCTGAGGAGCGACCTTATAAAATCACAATGGGCATGGATATGGTGAATAGTCAAGGATTTTTCCCCAGGGTAGGGGAGAACAAAACCAGAGGGCACAGGTTTAAGGTGAGAGGAGAAAGATTTAAAAGGGACCTAAGGGACAACTTGTTCACGCAGAGGGTAGTGCTTGTATGGAACGAGCTGCCAGAGGAAGTGGTGGAGGCTGGTACAATAAACAACATTTAAAAAACATCTGGATGAGTATATGAGCAGGAAGGGTTTGGAGGGATATGGGCTAAATGCTGGCAAATGGAACTAGTTTAATTTAGAATATGCAACAGTCTGTTTCCATGCTGTACATCCCTATGACTCTTAAGTGTTTATGAATTTTTTTTTGAGACAAATCCTAATTGAAAAGGGAAACTAAGAAAGGAAACAGAACCTTTCAGTTGCCATGGGAAGTAAGGCTGAAATTAAGATTGCAAACCAAGGCTTCGGGGAAAACTAAAACTGGTGGTGTGATGCAGGTAAGCAAAAGGAGACAAGTCCATACCCAGAAGTTGGGTATAATTAAACACACAGTTACAGATGTTTGCGTTACTTGAGCATAATACTGTGTCTACATCATCCAGACCCATCATAAGCAGAGTTGAAGAGGCTCAGCAGACACATGCCATTTTTCATGAAGACAGTGCCCATTGGTGGATTGGTTATGCACTGCTCTTGGCTGGCAATCAGCTTAAATCCCAAAAAAGGCATAAAATTCTGTAACAGAGGACCTTGTGAGTAAAATTGATAACCCATACACTGTGTGAATGGCTGAACCAATTTAGTAGATCAGACTAAGACATACCTGCTAACTAATGGGCATTTTACAATTAATTTATATTTAACTTATCATAATTATAGGTCATAGGAGTATCAATGGTTTGCTTTATTTGATCCTCATAGACCAAAAATTCTGTCTTGTTATAAAATTATCTTCTCTCCCTCTTCATTGAAGCCTGGTAAAGGAACACAATCTAATCAAGCAAAAAAAATGATGACGCAAGCATATCTGGCCATTGATTTGCAGTTTCAATTTTCAGCATACCATTTGTAATATCTAAGATTAGCAGCTAAATCACAAGCTCATTGTTACATCTCTTTTTGGATACATAACCGCAAGTTAAATTCCTCAATGCATCTTCTTTAAAACAAAAAGGAATCGATTTTCTCACCACCCATCTCCTAAAGGTAGAACCTTTGCTAGATTTAAATGTCTCTGGTCATTAATGAGGAGTAAGTTCCAATATTGGGCTGGGAAAGAGAACTTGATGTTGAGTAACACTAGTACATTCTCAGCAGATTTGTCTCCTTCTTTCTTCTCTACTAAAAGCGAGTCCTTACTCAGATTTATTTCCACAAAATAGCTGCATTATGGTACTTCACCATTCAAATAGTGACCATGTAGCTGTAAACCTTAAAGTGAACATCATAGTGTTATGAGAAATATGCTGGTAATCAACCAGACTACTCCATGAGTCCCACTGTCAATATAAATGTCTTAATTCAAATCACCAAAATGGCGAAAATGTTTCCCTTTTGGTACTTCTATCCAGACTTCTACCAAGTTTCCTTAATGAGCTCAAAAAATAATATTTATTATTGTTAATAAACAGAACTGAGGAAGGGTCACTGGACCCGAAACATTAACTCTGATTTTTCTTCACAGATGTTGCCAGATCTGCTGAGCTTTTCCAGCAACTTCTCTTTTCTTTCCTGATTTACAGCATCTACACTTTTTTCGGTTTTTAACAATTTATAAGCACTACCCACCATGAGCAATGTAGCATCAACAAATAAGAAAGGGTAGGAAGAGAGAGATGGTATTAAATTAGAGTTGGGGTGGAGATATTATACTCCAAACAACTGGCTTTAAATATTTTTTCAACAACTTGGACAGAAATGTTATTACACAAATCTGGAGCAGTTGAGACTTGAACCCAGGCTTCCTGATTCAAAGGTATGGACACTACCAGTTTAAGATATTTTCTAATCAACCTGTTCAGAGATATTATTAGACACGTCCAGAGCAGGTGGGACCAGGCACAGAGTTGGGGGATGTTTCCAATTGTTCAATTTATATGCACAGCCCATTAAGGCCAATGCAATAAAAGGTGAACTACTTCAGTCTTTAGTTTTTTTTTAAATATTCAGAAGTGTTCTTACACCGTTTTTTGTTGTCCTCCCCACCATTAACAAATTACCAGTGGTATCTTTTCATCTATTAACCACCAGTAAATTACCCATGAATTCCAATTGATTAATTCTCATGCAAAGCCAGTTTTGGGCAATGCAGAGCATCAAACGTAAAGGAGTGAGTGTGTGGGCTAAATCAAAATAGAATTGGAAGGAGAAATAAAGCACTCTACCTTGTAGCATCATGCCAGTTATATATTTTTGAATTAACTTAAGCAGACAGCACGTGAATCCAGGCCTTGTGGTGCAAAGGTAAGGACACCACCAGCACTGCAACACAAGGCCTTCCCATTCCAGTTTTTTTTAAATTTTCCATGAGATGATTTAGATATTTCTAATGAACTTGTTCTGAGATGTTATTCCACACCTCTTGAACAGGTGGCACTTGAATCTGGGCCTCCTAACTCAACGATAGAGATACTACCATTGCACCTCAAGGCATCCACACACCCTCCGGTTTTTATTTTTACACCTACTCCAGTTTTAGTGTGTAGTCCTGAACGATATACCGCTGAACAGGAAAGTGTTTTGACACTACTGAATCTATGTTCAGTGCCCCTTCCTTTTGCAGGCATTTCTCCTCGCCTCCTGGTTAGTCCCACATACAACAATCCTCACAAAGCCCAAAACCAGTCATCCTCGAAAGCTGTTACTATTCTAAAGGGAATCGGGCAAATTGTGGAAATGGGTAAGTCTGTTGGAAGCCGGGTGGGACTAAATGGGCTTCCCAGAGGGATGAAACTAAAATCGTGATTGGAAGTGAAAGTACTCCTATGAGCTGTACAGGTCAGAGCAGCATGTGCCGTTCGCATGTTCTACCTTCTCCCCTTCTGACTTGCCCAGAAACAGGGCGAGGCTCGTGGGTCAACGATCGCCAAGTTGTTGCTTTCATTTTTACTCGGCCAGCCACAAATCTGTAGCAACTTTGATCCCCCCAGCCCGGCCGAATGGCCGCTCCCCCTATCCCCGACCTTTACCTGAGTGCGGTACCAGGGTCAGCAGCACTAACACCGGGACCAGAGGCGGCAGCGAGCTCCTCACCGAGCCCATGGCCCCCCTCTCTCTGTGTGTCCCGACCCCGCGCTTCTCTCGTTGGAAACCCCGACAACACGAACCGGCAGCTTCCACTCCGCCCGAGTTTCACTTTCACCGAGTTTCGGCCGGGTTTGGGCGGAGCTGACTGTCCAATTTCCACCGCTGGGGGGCGCAGTCAGTTTGCGTTTTACGTTATTTAATTTATATAAATATCTGTAAATTATTTAAACATTGTATTTATGATATGCAAAATTTTACTTAATACATTTCCAGTACATTCCCAAAACAATAAATTAAGTTTAGAAAGAAGTATTTTGCTATTTATTTTCTTTAACTCTAAAAAGTTCAGAAATCACACGACACCAGGTTTATAGGCCAACAGATTTATTCGAAAACACAAGCTTTCTTAGCCTCACTCGTTCAGGTGTTAGTGACAGAGTTAGTATCAGGCACAGAATTTATAAGTAAAAGATCAAAGGTTCACACCCATTGATGAGGATGTACTAAACAAACCTAAGATGCTGTTAAATCTTTAATAAGTTTAAAGGTTTTAATTGATTAATATGTGCATTTACATATTTAGATAGGTTAGCTATGCGTATATTGGAATAGCCAAGTCTGGAGGTGACACCAACACAAAGAGGAACTCGAGTGGAGGCAGAAGTAGATGGCTAATGATTAGGAAATAGGGTCAGAAGCTCAAATCTAGATAAAATAAAGCACAAAGACTGGGATCAGGCTGGTTCAATGTGCAACAGTTGTTGGAGAAGGCACGGAATCAGTGGCAACTAGCATTCTCTTTCTGCTGGGAGGTCAAAGATGGTGGCACTGGTTTTCCCCAATAATAAACATGATGAAAGAACAATTCTTCCAGGCCAAGTGAGCCAACATAGAGGCGGTAAGGGGTTTAAGAGAGGTTGTGACGTAGAGATGTGTTGGCAGTGTACATGTGGAATCTGACACTGGGTCTTTTCAGCAACAGAAAAGATGTCTAGCATGAAGAGCAGATAAGGTCCCTTGGGGGGCTATAGGAAAAAAGTTTAAATCAGAGATGTGAAGAATTATATATTGCTGATAAAGCTTTAAAAGGTATTGAATGGTTCCAACTTGAATCAATTCGTATGTCTGGATCCCTCAGACTTTCCACCAAAGCTTAAAAAACTGTTAACGTGGAAATTGATTATAGCACAAAAAACACAGCAGATACAAACCCAAAGTAGAACATTAAATAAAACATAATTGTAACATTGGATTCAGTTTTGTCTGCCTTATTTCTGGGGTTCAGAGTAAACATTAAAAAATTATAAATGTATTAAGTAAAACATTGCACATCATAAATACAATGTTTAAATAATCAGATATTTATATAAATTAAATAATGTACTGTGCCAAAGGCTCCCTCTCATGTACTTCTTAACTCAATGTTGTGTGTCTGGAAATATAATTCAACATACACAGAAACACTTGTACAGTAGGTGACTCCAGAGCCTGGTAATGTATGTCAATAAGGAAGGAAACGGTATTTCTCAGTGATATGTATTTTATTTAGATTTCATTATTTACTGTATTTATAGATCATACCATTTGAACATTTACATTTTCTCATTAGGATACATTTAATTACAAATTGTAATACAAAAAAGACAAACAGTATAATTTTGTATCGACTAACATCCATATATAGTCGAAACAAACAATTTGTCAGTTTGTAAGCATGACAAGGGAAACAGTTAATGTTGCTAATGTATTTTTTGGCTGGCTACAACAAAACATTTTACGATTACTTACAGGTAAAAATCTCAGGAGATAGATTATCCAGGTTTCACTATTCAAGAGAGAATCATTTAAAAAAAATTAAGGCAGAGTACTTTCTGACACACATTCACTGGGAAAAGATGGATTCCATTGCCAGAGATACAAAAATATAAAGTTTTCACAGTTTAAAAAAAAAAGCAAACCATAGGGAAGGAAAGAAGTTTAAAAATAACTGTCACTGTACCGGCTTTTGTGATCATAATTTTTAAGATTGGACCACAGCGAACACCTTGTGGTTACTACAAGATATAGCATAAGCCAACATCAAGTCCCTTCTGAAGGGTCACTGGACTCAAAACCATTAACTCTTTCTCTCCACAGATGCTGCCGGACTTGATTTTCTCCAGCAATTTCTGTTTTTGCTTCAAGTCCCAATACCTTGGAAGCTATGGGAAATATTTAATTATGTCTCCAATTAGCTTTTGCGGTTAGTCTGAAAATTTGTTAGATTTCTCTATAATTTTATCAAGTGACTCAAGTAAGGTACGTTAAAGAAAAATCTAAATGATTATTAAAAGCAATTCACCACTGATTAGATTGGAGTCTTAAAACTAGCAACAAAGACATGATCAAATACATGAGAAACTAAGATTCATGTAGCTGTGTATTTAACAAAATTTAACATGTGCAATAACATGGTCTGGCTATTCTATTGAGAGCAGCGTGGTGGCTCAGTAGTTAGCATTGTTGCCTCACAGCACTAGGGACTCAGGTTTGATTCCAGCCTCGGATGACTGTCTGTTTGTACATTCTCCCCATGTCCGCGTGGATTTCCTCTGGGTGCTCTGGTTTCCTCCCAAAGATGTGCAGAGTAGGTGGATTGGCCATGCTAAATTGTCCATGGTGGGCAGGCCAGGTAAATTAGCCATGGGAAATACAGGGTGACAGGTATGGGGTAGGGGAGTGGGGTCTGGGTAGGATGCTCTTCAGAGGGTTGATGGGCCAAATAACCTGCTTTCATGCTGTAGGGCTTCTGTGAACTGGGCTGCATTCTCAGCATGGTCGAACTCACCATGATGTCATCTTCCAGAGCTCTGTTAATTTGCAAACTACTTTTAAAGATGTTGAGCAAAGACCTCTAATTGTACTTGGCAGTCACCTAGTGCAGGACAGAGCCTGCCTGCAGATAGCCACTAATTATCCAACAATTCTACTCAAAGTTGGTTTTCCTACAAATTGAGGACTTCCATTGAAGTCATTTAAAAATCTGTCACTTACATGGACTTTATGTTGCCTTAGGAACAATATGGTAATTATATCAGGTGATGCATTTTCATGGTATATAGAACATAGAACATAGAACAGTACAGGCCCTTCGGCCCACTATGTTGTGCCAACCTATTATCCTACTAAGATCAATCTACCCTTCATATCCTACATTTTACTATCATCCATGTGCCTATCCAAGAGTCGCTTAAAAGTCTCTAAAGTATCTGAATCCACTACCACTGCCGGCATGCATTCTATACCCCCACCACTCTGTGTGAAGAACGTACCTCTGATATCTCCCCTATACCTTCCTCCAATCACCTTAAAATTATGCCCCCGCGCAACAGTCATTTCCGCCATGGGAAAAAGTCTCTGACTATCCACTCGATCTATGCCTCTCATCATCTTGTAAACCTCTATCAAGTCACCTCTCATCCTTCTTCGCTCCAATGAAAAAAGCCCTAGCTCCCTCAATCTTTCCTCATAAGACGTGCCCTCCAGTCCAGGCAGCATCCTGGTAAATCTCCTCTGCACCCTCTCTAAAGCTTCCACATTTTTCCTATAATGAGGTGACCAGAACTGAACACAATATTCCATGTGTAGTCTAACCAGAGTTTTATAGAGCTGCATCATAACCTCACGGCTCTTAAACTCAATTCCCCTGCCAATGAAAGCCAACACACCGTACGCCCTTTTTACAACCCTATCAACGTGGGTAGCAACTTTGAGGGATCTATGGACGTGGATCCCAAGATCCCTCTGTTCCTCCACACTGCCATGAATCCTGCCCTTAACCCTGTATTCTGCATTCAAATTCGGCCTTCCAAAATGAATCACTTCACACTTTTCTGGATTGAATGCCATCTGCCACTTCTTTGCCCAGCTCTGCATCCTGTCAATGTCCCGTTGCAACCTACAACAGCCCTCCACCCTGTCCACAACTCCACCAACCTTCGTGTCATTGGCAAACTTACTAACCCACCCTTCTTCATCCAAGTCATTTATAAAAATCACAAAAAGCAGAGGTCCCAGAACAGATCCCTGCGGAACACCATTGGTCACCGAGCTCCAGGCTGAATACTTTCCATCTACTACCACCTTTTGTCTTCTATTGGACAGCAGTTTTGTATCCAGACAGCCAAATTTCCCTGAATCCCATGCCTCCTTACTTTCTGAATGAGCCTACCATGTGGAACCTTATCGAATGGTTTTGATATACTCACCTTTGCATTTGACATCTCCTGGAAGAAAATACCAAATGGTGGGCTAACCATAGAACTGGTGAAGTAATTTACAGCTCAAGTCCACTGGAGTTGTATCATTTTTCGGGCTCAGGTCTAGGAAATTTAATCATATTATGCAAAAGGAACAATGCACTGAAAATGCTGCAAATCACAGTCAGCCATACAGCAGTAATTTGCTTCTACTTTGAAGCAACAATGCACTGTTTTCTTCATTAAAATTTATCCTATTAACAAATTTTCCAATTCAAAAGGCAGAGCTTTAAAGCCGTAATTAATACCAGTAGCAAAGCGTACCTTCTTTTCTCAATAGTTAATTAAAAAACAGTATCCATCTATACTAACTCTTCAAATGACAGCATTACAATAAATAATAATTTCTTTATGATAACAAATTTGAGGAAATTTCTGGGGTGAGGTTCAGGGTTTTTCTAGTAGTGACCAAGGGTTTGAAACATTGACTGCTCCTTTCCTCCAGATGCTGCCTGGCGTGCTGTGTTCTTCCAGTCCCCTGTTTGTCTACCTTGGATTCCAGCATCTGCAGTTTTCTGGTCTCTAACAGTTTGGCTACTTTGTAGTTCAGTGAACAAATTGATAAATCTTGTGTTTGCTGGACTGCAAAACAATTCTTATGTAACTGAATGTTTTTTTAGAAAAAAAAATGTTGCGTCAATCAACCTGTTTAATCTAGTCTGAGGTTGCAATAGGAAGAAGTGTATTTCAAAAATCAGAACAAAACAGAGAATTCCATATCTAAAGTCAGTCTTGAAATATAACAAAATGTGATGAAATCTCACATACAATTGGAGAACTGAAATGAATTACACATTTAAAACTGCTGGTGCATTTTCTCAGTGAAGTGCACATCAAATTCAGTCATCCAGAATTGGCTAAAATTCAAAGAACACCTTAACACTCTCCATCTTTCTGAAATGTTTAACGGGGTCTCAAGTTTAAACCATAAAACTCCTCCTAAGTTGTGACTGAGAGAAGGTTTCACTTCCACTTATTATTAAATAACTTGTCTTTATATTGTGCCTTGTTGTGTCCACTGGAAATTTCAAACTTCATGTCCAATGATTTAATGTGATGGCGATGTTACATAACAAAAAATAAAGATCCCACAAACAGAAATGTCACAATGACCAGTTGACATGTTATTGTGATGCTAATTGAAGAATAAATATTCACCAGGAAACTAGGGAATGCCCTCCTTTGAAATATTGCCATGGGATTTTTTATATCCAGCTGAAAGGCCAGATGGGACCTCAGTTTCATGTCTCCCTGGATTTAAGAAGTTTTATTTTGCTTTACAGCAAATTGATATTTCTATAAGACCATAACAAAAGGGAACAGGAGTAGGCCATTCAGCCCCTTAAATCTGCTCCACCATTCAATAGGATCGTGGCTGGTCTGACATTCGTCATGCCCACTTTCCTGCCTTTTCCCCCATTATCGTTCATTCCTCCACCACCCACTCCCCACAACCACCACCACCAATCAAGTATCTATCGGAACTTAAAAACAGACAAGAACTCTGCTTCCCATAGCTTTCCTTGGCAAGGAGTTCTAAAGACTCAACCATCAGAAGAAACTCCTGCTGATCTGAGTCTTAAATTGGCATCTGTTTATTCTGAGGCTTAGATTCTCCCATTTGGGGAAACATCTTCTCAGCATTTAACCTGTTGAGTTCCTTAAAATCCTATGTTCTAATGAGATCACCTCTCATTTTTTTAAACTTCAATGATTAGAACCCCAATCTGTTTAGCTTTTGCTCTTGAGACAATCCATTGATTATGATGGTTTTCTGAATGAAATTTCTCCCCACTATTTTTCCACCCATTTCTGTGAACAACACTGCAGCTAGGAATAATTCTCATCTAGTTCTGTCCACCTGGAGTTACCAGTATGAATCAACTGGACAGTGGGTCAACTCAAAGTCCTGCCCTAACTCAGAGGGTAAAGAGATAAGAAGTGTAAATAACTGAAATTAATGTCATCAAAGTCAGCTATTTTTAAACATAATTGAGCCTACCACCCCAATTTTAATTGCTCACTATAACATAAGTGACTTAATTGGCTTACTGAACAAGTGAAATCCTACTAGAAACTCCAGATGACCAAAGTGCAATTTTCAAATGGGCTAAACAGGTCAACAAAAATCAAACTGCTTCAAATTGCTAGAAATCGGAAATAAAAAGAGTGAGAAATGCTCACTATGTCTGGCAACATTAGTGGAGAGAGAAACAGTTAACATTTCAAGTCAAGGAGCTCTATTCTGAACCCTTCAAAGCATTGAACAAAAACAAAGTTGCTGGAAAAGCTCAGCAGGTCTGGCCGCATCTGTGGAGGAGAAAACAGAGTTAACGTTTCGGGTCCGGTGACCCTTTCTCAGAACATTTCAAAGCATTTCATCATTTCAAGCTGGATTTTTTTGTTTTATATTTACCAGCTATGCAAAACAAGTGTTTAAAGCAGAATGATAAATGCCAGTTGTGTGGGAGCAATTTAAAATAAAACTTGCACCATCTATATTTATCTTGTGTTCAAAATAGATGCAAGAAATCTTTATATTTATCTTAGAATGCCAGACGCATATTTTTTTCCATAAATTCTTGTGTTTCTGGGTGAATAACCTCACATCTGATTCCTATCCCATTATCAGATTCTACTGGTGTAAATTTTATACTTGTTAGAGATGAGAAGAGACCATTTTCAGCAACTTCAGGCTTAGTATGAGCCACCTGACCCGTGAAGTGTTCCTTTCCTTTAAACCACCTAATTTCAACTTCTTGAGGTGCATAATCAGTCAGTGAAACGGTGAAAGTTGCCACTTTGTTTTTCTCTGGTTTCATTGGGTTACATTTGATTTCCGACAGAGTGGGAGGGGAACCTTAAAACAGAACAGAACGTACAAATTATGAGTGTGCACATTATCTGCAGTGATAGTTTGTCTCAATGTTACAGTAACTGTTCTTGACATAACTTCAGCAAATTCAATTGTTCAAGTTAGCAAATTCAGTTACTACTTCATATGGAACAGTAGGAATCATGAGATATCAAAGGTTGGACCAAGAAATATTTGGGATTGACAACCGAGATAAACATTCAAAGGGATATCATTTTTAATAAGGCTATAAAATAGATTTCCCAGATCATTTGCACTCCAGAATACTAAAAGAATTAGTAGAAGCATTAAAAGGCTTCAAAAAATTGTGTATTCTTCCAAGTTGACTGGAAAGCAAATATTATTTTTCCTGCTTAACAGTTCAGAATGCAGCATGAAATTACTGAATAGTTTTAATAGCATATAGTCCTGACATCTGGGTGAGCTCTCAGTAATGGCTTCAAGTTCCACATCTGGGATCATGCTTTGATTGGTTATTCTCACTAAGTTTAGAATGGCAAAGAGTAATGTTTGAACATTTGGCAGGTTCTAGTTTTCTGAAACCAAAGAATTGGTACATTCACCCATCTGGGCCCATTTATAACAAACAGAAAAGCACTGGAAATAGGTATCCAGGAGCAGATTCGCACTTTCATAATTGTCATTTTTTTTCTTAAAAAACCAGGATAAATTCAATTCTGTTCTTGTTTCCTAAATTATTCAATGCTGTAGTTCTATAGTAATTAGGATTTTGCACAATTTTAAACATACCTGGAAGCTTCAAACACAGCTGCTTTTGAATAGAATTGGGTGAAGCTTCATGCATCACTTCGAATACAACTTCCTTATTATAATCCAAAGCTGTTGGCATTAACTCCATGCTGGAAAATAACTGGTAATAGCCACTTTCTTCCTTCTGAGGCTCTGTGGTTGTGACTCCACTAGAGACATACTTGTTATTCATTAGCCATCTGGCAGAGGATACATTTCCAGGAAAATTTTTTACATGGCATTTAAGAACAAGACGTTTTCCATAGGATGGAATTTCTGGCTCTGGAACGATGTCAGAAACTACTGGAATTCCTGTTTGGAAACAACAAGAAACTGTTCATCAGGCTTTTGTATCCCACATCCAAGCTGATTCCACAACAAGATCTATTGTACCCATATCATACTCATTTTTGCACTGGTACCTTCCCTATTTAAGAAATCACCTCTTTTTCCTTTTACTATTCCCCAGGAACGTTAAACATCCTTGCACATTCTTATCACATTTGGATTATCGCTCACCTCTTCAATACCCTGCACTTCAGCTTTCACATTTCTTTTGATTTTTTTTTAAAAACTTCCCTTCAACTGAACACTCCCCCTTGTGCTAATTAGTTTAAAACCCTATCTACAACGTTAATTATACAATTTTCCAGGATACTGGTCCCAACATAGTTCAAATGAAACCCATCCCAACAAAATTCTCTTTTTCCAGTCCTCCAGAACTCATTTCTCCCAAGTCAATCTTTGAACCATACATTTACCTCTTTAATCTTAATTATCTTTTATCAACTTGCATCTGGCTCAGACATTAATCTGAGGATTACCGCCTTTGTGATTGTGTTCAATTTAGCCCTGAAGTGCTCAAAATCCCCTCAGCAAAACCTCTTTTCCTAGTTCTACTTATGGCATTAATGCATATGTGGACCACAATAATTCGATCCTTCCCCTCCTATTCCAAGTTCCTCTCCAGTCCAGAAAAGATGTCCTGAATGTGACACCAGGTAAGGGACACAGCCTTTGGAACTGTCCTTGTTGCAGGAGAACAGTGCCATTACCTAAACTATGCAATCCCTAATATTACCTCATTTCTCTTTTCTCCACCAAGCAACTCTCAAAAAGCACCCCCCTCAAAAAAATCAACTTAACTGCCACTCACGAACATGGTGTGTGGTTAGTTTTCTCATACTCCCTAAAATCTATGACACTGTCTATACCAAGAGCAACTTCATACCCTATTCGATAAGGTGAATGGTTGAGGCTACTCCAAAGCTAAATTGTGGATCCAATACATGCCACACTCTCAGTCACACACTCCTGCTGCAGACCACAAACATATTTGCTATCATTAATTTAAAGGGTGTGACTTTCTCCTGAAAGAGTGTCCGGTATCTCTCTTCATCTTCGATGTGTCTCAGTGTCCACAGTTCAGAGTCCAGCTCGTTAACTCTGAGCTTAAGTTCCTCAAGCAACCAACACTTGTGCAGATATGGTGCACCACAGATGTACCTGTGTCCACCAGTTCCCAAAGCTGCCAACCACCACCTGCCCAGTCACCTCTATTATATTCAATTAATTAATGAGTCTGTTAAATATTTTTAAAGGTGAACTTCTTAACTATACTCTTCAGCTGTAGTAATGTCGCCTGAATGAAATTAACTGACCAAAAGACATGGAGGAAATACCCACCAATCATCTAATTGTTTTCCTGTAATATCACACTTTGGCTGTTAAAGGAAGAAACAAGTTAACAGATGTCTCTGACACTGGTTTTTATCTCTCACTGTTACTGCTCTTCTCACACAGACACCTACTTTCATGGCTCTTCATGCTGACTCCTCATTCTCTTACACTGTTTTGAAAGCATGAGCTCTTTCGCTTCAGTTGTGCTGATTTACTGCAAACTCCTCCCAGTCTGCTTCACAGTGACTTTGCTGCACAATCCTCCTAGTTCACTTCACTGCAATTCTGACTGTTGCATACTCCTGCCAGTCCTCTCTGTTTTCTGCCTGTTAATCAGTTCTTAATTTATACTCGTACATTTCCCATCAATCCATCTGCTGTAATTCAATTACTAGACTCCTGTGTGGAAACTAAATCAAACATTTGCTGAAAATCCAAAATACATTACATCTACTCGTTCTCCTTTTAGTAACACTAATTTCATTTTGTTCCTCAGATTCACAAGTCCCAAGTCATCTAGTATTTGAGAGATTTTTCGTATCTTCTCCCATGAAGATAGCCACAAAGTAGCAACTTAACTTCTTCGTCATTTTTTTTTAAAACTATAAATTCTCCTGTTCTCCCTGCTGTAACGGGTCTGTACTTGTCATAGCTAATCCTTTCCCTTTTACCTACCCAAAAATGTTTGCACAGTCCTGCTTTATGTTCCTCTCTACATTTTTATTTTTTATGTTCTTAAACCAGTTTCTGGGACCTTTGTGGAGTTCAGAATTGCTCCCAGTCCTCATAACTGCCACTTTACCTGGATTCTATGTAAACCACTTTTTCTGTTCTAATGCAATCTTTAACTTTTTTCATTAACCATGTTTGATTTACATTTCCTTTTGAGTGTTTGTTCCTCAGAGGAATGTACATCTGTGATCAACCATTTGGTGGTTCAAAACAGCCTGATTTAAACTTGGCTCCTCAATGTACTGCTCCAGAAACTCTTCTCATACACACTGCAGCATTTCAACCTCTATACCATTAATTAAAAACTTAAAGAACTGTGGATGCTGTAAATCAGGAAGGAAAACAGAAGTTGCTGGAAAAGCTCAGCAGGTCTGGTCGCATCTGTGAAGAAAAATCAGAGTTAACATTTCAGGTCCGATGACCCTTCCTCAGAACTCAGAACTGAGGAAGGGTCACTGGACTTGAAATGTTAACTCTGATTTTTCTTCACAGATGCTGCCACACCTTCTGAGCTTTTCCAACAACTTCTGTTTGTGTTCCATTGTATGAATGTTGATTTAGTTTTTCCCTAGGGTGGGGGAGTTCAAAAGTAGGGAGTGTATTTTTAAGGTGAGAGGGGATAGATTTAAAAGAGACCTGAGTGGCACCTTTTTTCACACAGAGGGTGAAGTGTATGTGGAATAAATTGCCAGAGGAGGCAGGAGACACTGGTACAGTCACAACATTTAAAAGACATTTGAACAGGAACATGATTAGGAAAGGTTGAGGGGGATATGGGCCAAACCCAGGCAAGTGAGACTAGTTTAGATTGGGAAACTTGGTCAGCATGGATGAGTTAGACTGAAGGGTCTGTTTCCGTGCTGAAGCTGACCGTTAAACTACAATTATACATGTTACATGCATTTTTAAATTTCTGATTTTTACACCATGCCCAACATAACCACTACAGTTGGTAGTCTGTAAAAAAGAAACTCTCAGAATGTTTTACTTCCTTTGCTGCTTCTTAATTCCAGCCAAACTGACTGTAGATCTTGAATCTTTGATGCAACATCCTTTCTTACAAATTTTTACTTTGGTTTACTTGCGTTCTTTTTATTTTACTCGCCTTAGCCATTGATAAACCTTACAAGCATTCAAACTGGGAGAAGTAGAGGCTGTTTGGCCCCCTTGGATGTTCTCTGCTATTCAATAAGATCATGGTTGATCAGTTTGTGTTTCATATTCCACATTTCCCATTTACTCATGATAATATTTTATTCCTTTGTCTAACAAAAATATATTTATCCTTGTTTAAAAGTATTCAATGAGCTGCCTCTGCCACCTTCTTAAGCAGAGTTCCAAAGTCTCTCAGTCCTCAGTGAAAAAAATTCTCCTCCTCCCTTTCCTAATGGGCAACACTAGTTTTTTTTGAATAGTGTTCCCTAATTCTGTACTCACCCACAAGACAAAATATTCTTTCCACACCCGCTCAAATCAAGGCCATTCAGGATTTATACCAAGTCACCCCTCACTTATTTCAACTCCAGTGAAAACAAGCCCAATCTGTTCAACATTTCCTCTTAGTACAACCACTAATTCTAGGTATAAATCTAGTAAATTGCTTCTGAATCCTTCTAAACATTTACATTCTTCTTTAAACGAGGAGGCCAAAACTTCACACAGTATTTGTGACGTGGTCTCACTCATGTCCTATAGAATGAAGCATAATATCTTTACTTTCATATTCAATTCCTCTTGTAATAAAGGTTAGCATTCCGTTAGCCTTACTGATCATCTGCTTTACCTACATACTAAATCTTTTGTGACACGAACCAATGTATCCAAATCACTTTGCACTTTGGAATTCTTCAATCATTCTTCATCTAAGTAATACTGTGCTTTTTTATTCTTCTCACCAAAGTGAGCAACTTCACATTTTCCACATTACATGCCATCTATTATAGCGTACAGGATTTAGTGATGTCAACTATGCATGCAGATACATTTTGAGTTGGGGACATCTATCACCAGTAACTGATATCATTAAGTTTTTATGTGTAGGTGGCCATTTTGACAGCTATCTTTGAATTCAGACCATTTAACCCATTTTTATTTTTCTTGCCAAAGTGATCAATTTCATATATTTCCACAGCCTACTGCATCTGCAAAATATTTGTCCACTCACTCAACCTACATTAGTCTGTGATCTCTTCATGTCCTCTTTAAAACAAACTTTCCTATTTTTTTTTGTGCCACATGACAATTTAGCTGCATTTGCTCACCTGGTCAAATGCCTTCTGGAAATCCAACTATAATATGTCAATGGTATACACTGTGCACATACTACTTATTCAAACCAAGTCCAAGAAATTGGTTAAAATTTGTTTTCTTCCTTTCACAAAAAGAATGCCGCATCCTCCTAATAACCTTGACTTTTTCCCCAGTATCCAGGCATAAGCTCCTTAATGATTAATTCTAACACCCCACAACACACATCATGCTCACTGGACTATAGATACCCAGTTTCTGCCTCCTTCCGGTCTTGAATAGGCAGGTTACATTCGCTTCTTTCCAGTCTGTTGGAACCTTTCCTGAATTTAGTGAATTTTGAAAAGCTAACACAAATTAATCTACTACCTCAGTAACGACCTTTTCTAAAGGCAAAAGGATGACACACATCATGATCTGGGCACTGAGAAACTTGCAGCTCCATCAGTGTGCTCAGTGCCACTTTCCTTCCAGTCAAATTTTCACTATGTTCCTCTCTCCCTTCCACCTCCTGATTTATAGCTACTATTAGAAACCTTTTCAGTAAATCGAGATTAGCTTTGTCAGCATAAGAAATCTGTTTCACACAGTAAGAAAAATGGAAGCCTCCAGTTATTGGCAAAAGATTTCCCCTGCTACAAATGGAGTTTAGATTCCAAGAATTGGCAATGGTTACAAAAAACAAATGGAAACAAGCATAAAGCTAATGAGCAGCATTGCCCATTTGAGCTCATTGAATTATGTCAATTGAAGATTCGTCAGTTCTAAAGAATGGTGTTCTGAAAAAGGGTCACCAAATCCAAAATGTTAACTCTGATTTCCCTCCACAGATGCTGCCAGACCTGCTGAGATTTTGCAGCAATTTCTGTTTTCGTTAAAGATTTATCAGTAAACACAGTGCAGTCAATAAATTATGACAACGACAGATTTGAGTCGGATGTCAGATGTCCTGGTGGTTCAGAAGACCAAGTTCAAACAGAAAATTTCATTTCCTGATCTTCCCAGGAATAGAGATCACATCCAGCAAGCAGCAAATCAGCAAATAGTATGTTGAAGGAGTTGAGCCTGTTGTTTTCACCAATACTATAGTTCCAAAGGAAGAATAGAAATGTTGTTATATACTTCAGCACAGATTGAGAATTAAAGAAGATTGAGAATTAAAATCTGCTGACAGATTGAAGAGGTGGTGTATATAACCCTCTTGGAAACCACCACCAAGAAGAAACTATAATGTCCAATGATTCAAGGCATAGTCAAGAAGAAATTTCCAGGTTCTAGGATCCAGGATACTGCAAAAATGAAAGTGTCTATTTCCACAGTTGTTCTCATTGAGGAAATTTGGGAGTTTAAAGGTCCTGCAGATTTGCAATGGAGCAAGTGCCTGTTTTAGTAGGAAACCATACTTCTGCAAAAGGAAATCCAAAGATTTTTTAAAAGATTACTCTCATCTGAAGGGATTTTCAGCCTTCACGTCGTCAGAAACAGAATAAAAGTCAACAAATTTCAACTCAAAGTTCTATCTATCTTCCAAGCCTGAAGATAATGTGTTTTGAGAGAATAGCGAGACTCCAGACTGCCCGAATATGTAAAGAGACTTGTGGAGATACAGCAGTTGCAAACTAATTATGTAGACAAATATATAAATATTAATAATGGGTAGAAAAATAGAACTGGTTGTAGGCATTGTATAAAGCTGTAAGGATCTGTAAGGATGAATATCCTGGAGTGAATTAAATACCACCTGCTACAATGATGTCATATGGACATGTGGGAGAACAACTTAGGATCTTAAATGAGCAAGACCTACCACCCTTAGGTCTTCCACATAGCCTCTGCAATGAGGATAACCTTGTTATCAAACAATAAACTATATTTCATTTAAAACAAAGCCTCTTCTCATTAAACTATCAAGTGGTTTCTCACTGCCACATTGGACCAAACAGTCCCTATGTGTCTCTACCAGGAGAAAGGATGGTGGCAGAAGTTCTACCAATAGCTGATGAAACATAATGAGCAGTGGTGTAATGAGCAGTGGTGAAGATTCGTCTTACACCAGAGCAGGCAAATGTGATCTGTATCACTGAAGATTCTTCCTGAGAAAATCAAGAAATGAAATTCTCTATTTGTACTTAATCTTCTGAACCACCTCAGAATCTGACGTCAGAGTCAAACCTGTCATCATCACTCTAGAGTATATGCAGTCAGGTCATAGATCAGCAGGATATTACTGGATGCCTATTCCTATACCAAATGCTTATTATTACAATTATTTTGACTTTTTTGGCAAATGCATTGACTCAAAAATAACTCACGTTGACAACTGAAAATAAGTATTAGACTTTTAAAATAGCTTTATAATCCAATTAGGACTCCAGTTCAGGTTAAATGCAATCAAGCTTTAAAAATGTGACTGGAAAGCAGGAAGAATTGCCACTGTTTTTGTATTTTGTAAGCAGGAACACACCACTGCCTCTGGAAAATTTCAATATGATACAACAAATTTATATTTGGAGTTATTGAAGTGTGGTAAAACTTCACACACATTCCTAAATACAAAAGTGTATAGCTTATACATAGTCTAGTATAAGTTTAGTACAGAAAGAATATACACTAAATTCATACCTCCAAGACGAAGGATGAAACTAGATCTTGAAGGCTTGTGAGAAGTTGGGAAATGTAGAACCTCAACTTTGAATTCCATCTGGTGATATTCTGGCTTAATTAACAATTTCCATCGGCTTTCACTGTAGTAGAAGCCAGTTTGTTCATCTTTCTGAGGTTCAGTAAAAGTGATTCCTGCGTCATCAGTTCTCTCATTATTTCTAAACCACATGAACAACGTTTCCTTTGGAAAGAAGCCATATGCATGACATATGATGGTTGCTTCTTTTCCTGCCTCTGGGAATTCTGGTTCACTTTTTATGTATTTTACTAATGGTGGAGACACTGTAATAACAGAAAATATATAGTTAGACACAATAGAATATTGCAAGTTTCTATAATAACTCAGGAACTTTAAAGGTAGTACAGCTATAGGATGAGGTTACAACAAATCTAAAATTTTAGTTATTCACAACTATAAGTTATATTATTGATAATAACCATTTTGAAATATTATTGAAACATAGAAAATAGGATTTGGCTATCCAGTCCATCAAGCCTGCTCTGCCATTCAATATGATCATGGCTGATCATCCAACTCAGTGCCTTGTTCCTGTTTTCTCCCCATATTCTTTGAATGGTTTCAAGAAGGGGTTGGATATAGTTCTTGGGGCAAAAGGGATCAATGTTTTGGCCTCATTCACTTTCTGTGGCAGAGAATTCGACAATCTCACCACTCTCTGGGTGAAGAAATATTTCTCGTCTCAGTCTTAAATAGCCTACCACTTCCTAGTCTACTCCAGTTAGAATTTTTTTTGAAAGAGATTCCCCTTTCAATTTTCTAAACTCCATTTATTGTAGTCCTATACAATTCAATCTCTCTTTAGTCAGTCCTGCTATTCCAGGAATCGTTCTGATAAACCTTTGATGCACTCCGTCCATGGCCATCTTTCCTCAGATAAGGAGAGAAAAACTGTACACAATACTCCAGATGTGGTTTCACCAAGGTCCTGCAGCAAGACATCTCCACGCCATACATATAAGTGAAAGTTGTGTGTATCATTATAGTACCACTAACAAATTCATATATTTAGCAAGAATGTGTTTTTTACATCAAAATTTTCGGCACAAAAAATGATCTTTTAAGTTGATATTCTACAAATGTAGGTAGTTAGCATGAAAACAATGCTTTTCATTCTATCTCGGTACATGTGACAAATAATAAATCAAATCAAATTAACATGTTGTTACCTGCAGAACTCTAATAGGTCAATAAATAAAACAATGAATGATTTCATCAGATTTTGGCATGAAAACATTTCTATATACTTAGCACAGTTAAATACTGTGAGAAAAAAAACTATAGTATTTATCATAATACAGAAATCAGTTGTAACATTTTATTTGCTGTGTTGATGAGAACAGAAACAAAGTATCAAGCAGTTCATGACGTGAAATTTGCCCTTGTATTAAACAACAACATATATGAGTCAAGCGGTTTCACAGCTACATTCTTGAATAAAATTCAGCATGCCGATTGTGACAATATGAGGACAAGTTAGACAAAAGGATATGTTTTAAGACGCATCTTAAAGGACATAAAGGTGGGAAGAGAGACTGAGTATGGGAATTCAAGAGTTTAGAGCCTCAGCTGCTACAGGCAGCTACCAAATTGGAGGAGTGCAATTACTTTTCATGTAGAAACTAAAACAAAAACTGCATAGTTCCCATGGCACTAATGAAATTTGGAAAAATCTGACTGGTGACAACTCTCCTCCTTTCACCGATTGACACTCTTCCCTCCCCTCACTATATACAGCCCAAAGGAGGTGTTTTTTTTTAAACCCCAAAACATACCCATTCAGTTCCGAAGGAATTTTGGGCTAGCTACAGGTCACAAATACTTTATTTTCCCCTTGGTTACAAAAGTATTATCTTGACGTCACAGAATTGTTTTAGTCTCACAGTAGCTATACTGTAGGACAGAGTACAAATTAAGACATAATCAGGGCTTGTTGGAAAATTGCTCCAATAATTTAATTTTAATTTTAATTCTAATACAGAATAGGCAAACCAAATTGACAAAGATAGCATTGAGGAGTTCATGGACAATGTTTGGGATAATTTCTCACATTGTAAAACCAGGGAATTAGCCATTTTAAATCTAGAATATGTAAATATGACTGGATTGATGAAGAATTTCATCATAAAATATCCTTGAGAAGAATGATCATAAACAATGTGAAGGTTCACTGGTGGTTCTCAGATATGGAGGGATTTACTTATGAGGACAGGTTGAGTAGAATGGGCCTATACTCATTGGTGTTTACAAGTAAAAGGATGACCTTATTGAAACATAAATGTTCCTTAGGGGACTTCACAAAGTAGATGCGGGGAGAGATTATTTCCTCTTTTGGAAGAGCCTAGGACCGTGGGCATAACTGCAGAGTAACGGGTCACCCACTTAGTTCAAAGATGGCAAGGTTTTTCTTCTCCCCGGTGCTGGTGAATCTGTAGAATTCTTTATTGCAAAAGGCTGTAAAGGTCGGGCTGCTAAATGTATTCAAGGTTGAGAAGAATTTTAATCAGTAAGTAAATCAAACAGGGAAAAGACAGGAAAGAGGAATTGAGGATTATCAGATCAACTATGATCTTATTAAATAGTAGAATGGACTCCATGAACCAAATGGGTCCTCCTGCTCTTATGTGTCATAGACTAAACATCCTGATGAACTTCCTCTGCACCCTCTCTCGTGCAATTGCATCCTTCCTACAGGACAGTGGCCAGAACTGCATAACGTATTCCAGCTGTGGCCCAACTTACACCTGATACACTTTCATTGTAATCTCCCTGCTCCTGTATTCAATGCCTCAACTAATAAAGGTCACTATCCCAGATGCATTCATAACTACTTTATTCAACCATCCTGTTGCCTTCAAGGATCTGTGGACATGCAAACCAAGTTTCCTCTGACCCTCTATATTTCCTACTATCCTACCATTCATCGTCTACTCCATTGTCTTGTTTTTCCTCCTAAAGTGACTCACCTCACCCTTCTGGTATAACAGATTGGGCAAATTACCAGAAAGTGACTAGCAAATTCATTTTAAGATGGATGAAGATGGATATTGCAAAATGGTGAGAGAAATAAAGGCAATGTTGAGAAGATTAGACAAATAACTTTTTGCTTTTTGGAGAAGGGGGCAGTGGAGAGTGGGAGAGCAGAAGCACTTATGCGGAGCATAAACATCAACATGGACTTCTTAGCCTGTACATTCTTTTGTTTCTGTATTACTATACAATGTAATTCAAAAACTTTATTTCCACATTAGTTCTGAAATGATGGCCTGCAAGAAGAAAGTGTCAGTTTTGCTTGATGAAATTGTTTTTTCCAACATTGTCTCCACTAATATCAAGTATTCCAAGTCAAGTCTAATACAGTCAGCTATGGAACAAACCCCATTCAGCCTTCCCCAGGATTGTGCAGGCTCAGCCTCACTTTCTACCTTTCTTACTTTTTGCAAATATCCATTCTGACATTTGATGTGATTTTTGCCCCCAGCAGGTATTTTACCTGATGTGACACTGCTTATGTGATCCTCGTAACATAAACTGGCAATAGGTACCGTGGCATTGAACAATCCCACAGACGTTAATTACAACTAGCTATTGTGTACAAACATTCACAGGCATACAGAGGAGGTGGTGGCATAGCAAAAACATCAATGGATTCGTAATCCTGGCCACAGGCTCAAGTTCTGAGGACATGGCAGATGTCAAAATTGGAGTTCAATTAAAAACAAACAAAACCTCGAATTAAAAAGCTAGTCTAACAGCAACCATATAACCATTGCCAATCTAGTTTGTTAATGTCATTTACAGAAGGAAATCTGTCACCTTACCTGGTCTTTCGTGTGACACCAGACCCACAGCAATGTGGTTGACTTTTAACTACCAGAAGCAATTAGGGATGGGCAATAAATGCTGACCAAGCCAGCTATACCCATATCCCATGAACGAATAATAGAAAGAAAAAAAAAAATCAGTGTTTTGGCTAACATTAAGTTGTTAGAATACAAAAGAACAGTGCGCTTCCAATCATGTCACGCTTCAAGTGATCCCAGTTAAGATGGAGACTGAGGCCTTTATATGCTTATAATCTCGTGCTATGATACATTGATGATGCCATAAATGCTTCCCTTAAAGGTATAATGGCATACTATATACTGCCATGAGATAACATTACAGTATTTTTGGCTAGTTTTCTGTTTATGTCATGAATTGTTTTGAGTTGAGGGTAATTGAGTTCAAATTAACAAGGAACTGACTGAAGTTCTAATTTCATTTCATTGAAGACTGCTTGCAAGGATAGGAAGCCTTCATTTAATTAATTTGGCTAAAATCCAGAGATTAAAATGCAGCACATGAATCCAGTATATAGATTCCACTAAAATCACTTGTTTCACAAAAAGTTAACAAAGTCAACCACATGTGCATTTCACATTGAACATTGTCATGTTTATTTCAGAATATGTCAATAATAACAAAATATCTTACTTACCTAACTGATTCAGTACACGTTCAATTTTTCTGGACCCGGTGATACTTTCATGCTGGAATTCACAAGTTAATGCCTTCCCCAAATCTTCCCTACAAGGAATGAATTCAAAATGATTTGTGAAATAATAAAGGCCATCCTTTCCATAGTTTGCTTCAGTATCAGCATTCATTTCCTTTGATACAATATCGCCCTTTTTCCAGATAACTTTAATGCCTTTTGGAAAGAATGAGTATATTCTGCAAGATGCCATTGTTCGTTCATCAACAATCGGAATTTCTGGTGACAGTTTTATATTATCACATTTTGGGATAGCTGTGGAAAAAAAAAATGGGAAAACATAAATTTTGATTGTTTCATTATGGCTTTGTTCCAAACTGAAGTTTTTAAAACTTATTTCAAGTTGAAACAGCAAAAAAAAGGGCATCTGCTTAGCAAAGTTACAAATGACTGTACAAATATTTGATTTTAACTATGCATCTGAATTGCCATCCTTGTACAAAATGCAAGGTAACTGAGTAAAGATGATAAGCTACTATCTGTTCTAACCCTGGATATATCAATTTGCTGATCCTTTTTTCTGAATTTCTGAGAAGTTCTCCCATGAGAAGGGCTGTTCCGACTTCATAATGCTAGCCTTCAAGCTTTGGAATTCCTTTCCCAAATTCCTATGCCTCTTTACCTCATTCTGTTGTTTTGAGATATTTTCCTTATCCTGCTAAAATCTGGTTCTCTGGCTTATTCCAAGTATGCATTTAGGAAGCATCTTTTCTAAATTACAGCAACCACAGCAACAACCCGAAGAATAGGAGACCAGAAGTAAAACACAGTAAGATTGCTACCAAAGTGAAATTCAGAACAAATTGAAGTTATAACCATTCAATTCAATATTTTAGACTTGTTCAATAAAATAAATTCAGTGCAGAAAGGAGAGCACTATATATCATAGCCAGAAACTGTTCAATTTCTTCTTCTTGATTATTTTTACAGGAAAAATATAATCTCCAAGTAATACTTCATAAATATAACAAATGCGTTTCTCATTCCCAGGTGGAATAGTCCACCATTTATGTTGATGCACACACAATTTTATCCAAGATCTTCTAAAAGTTGTCATATTTTGAGAGACAATTTAAAAATTGCAACAATATCAACATTAGGTAATGGCTCTTACTGCTAATCAACTACTTATCCACTCAATGCTATTCTAAATGTACACTTCAATAATTGATTCTATGCTGATTGTTAAGAGATCATAGCAAAATCTGTGGTAAGACAAACAAAATAAAAATAGAGAAATACTGATGGTACCTGTTAAATTTAGCTTAATCCGTTCACTTATTTGTGTGTCTGTGGCTGGATGTGTTACTTCACAAATATATGCTGCTTCATGATCTTCATTAATAGTTGGTATAAAATACAAAACACTGGCAACAGTGTGCGTGTGGTCTTCATATTTCAGCTCAGTTGTACTGTGGGTGTACTTGTGTTGCCCTGGTTCTGTTATTTCAAAGACCTCTGTTTCTCCTGGTTGAAGTTTGCCAATTTCTTTTCTAATTGCATTCTTTTCTTTGTACCAGGTGATAGCCAGCGGTCTAGGTTTAAATCCATTGATTGGACAGGTCACAGCAAGCACTTCTTCATGAATAATACATTGAGGTATCACTGGTTCAGTCATTCTTGGTCCAACTTTGTTTTTAAAACAAGAGAGAAAATACAATTATGTTTTAAAAGTTGTCAGAATCAATAAATATAGACTCCTTAAAGTAAAACTTGACAATTATGCTATCTATGATACATTAACTGGAAAAAGGGCAATTCAGAAATCCTCATCTTTTGAAAAAAAGCTGCTAATATTGGTGTGTGAGGTTCAAACTATGTCGGCAGACTGGTCAGCTGGTTTCACAAAATGCTATAATGCAGCTAGGTGTATGATTTTACCTTGTGGAACACTATGTGCTTGATTTAATAAACCAATCACAATAGAAACTGGACTACTTTCTTCACACAGTTTGGGCTTAAGGTTGGGGACATGTCAGCCAAAGCTTTCTTCATAGTGCATAGATCACTGAAAGTTGCCACCCAGGTTGATAGCGTTGTTAAGAAGGCGTACAGTATGTTAGGTTTTATTGGTAGAGGGATTGAGTTTCGGAGCCATGAGGTCATGTTGCAGCTGTACAAAACTCTGGTGCGGCCACACTTGGAGTATTGCGTACAGTTCTGGTCACCGCATTATAGGAAGGATGTGGAAGCATTGGAAAGGGTGCAGAGGAGATTTACCAGGATGTTGCCTGGTATGGAGGGAAGGTCTTATGAGGAAAGGCTGATGGCCTTGAGGCTGTTTTCGTTAGAGAGAAGAAGGTTAAGAGGTGACTTGATAGAGACATACAAGATGATCAGAGGATTAGATAGGGTGGACAGTGGGAGCCTTTTTCCACGGATGGTGATGGCTAGCATGAGGGGACATAGCATTAAATTGAGGGGTGATAGATATAGGACAGATGTCAGAGGTAGGTTCTTTACTCAGAGAGTAGTAAGGGCGTGGAATGCCCTGCCTGCAAAAATAGTAGACTCGCCCACTTTAAGGGCATTTAAATGGTCATTGGATAAACATATGGATGGTAATGGAATAGTTTAGGTTAGATGGGCTTCAGATTGGTTTCACAGGTCGGCGCAACATCGAGGGCCAAAGGGCCTGTACAGCGCTGTAATGTTCTATGTTCTATGTTCTATGTTCATCTGTTCTACTTTGAAAAATAAAGCATTGTCATGCAAACCAGTACAAGTACTGAAAAATGCAATTCTTTTGATTTTGTGAGCATCATAGTAGTACAGGAATGCAGAGAAGGTGTAAACGCCTGAGTGGAGTGAGGACTGTGCCTACAATTAGGATTACTATATGTATGTTGCCTGGCGTCCACAAATATCTTTAGAAAATGATATAGTTCTATAACTGATTCCCGCTAATAATTTAATCATGTTGAATGCAAGCAGAGACAGCTGTTCCTGATCATTTGAAAGATGGTGGGCCAAGATCTTTATTATGATATAGTTCCTATTGATCACTTAGTCATTATTTATTTTATTGTCAATTCATTCAAAAATAGAGTTTTTTTTTAAATTTACAAGTAATAAGTATAAACTGATCCTTAAAGTTCTCAATAATAGACAATTCCACCTTCCAGTAATATGGAAAAATACAAAAATGTAACCAATAGAGACTTTGCATCAGTTGTCATGTTGGAAGACACCAGTAGCGTACCAGAACTTCACGAGCCTGGGTATAGAAGTGACTGCAGTGGCCGTTCCTAAGCAGAAGGTGCTGGGGAAGCTGGAAGGTCTGAAGGCAGATAAACCACCCAAGTTGGATGGACTACACCCAGGGTTCTGAAGGAGATAGCTAAGGAGTTTGCAGAAACATTAATTTGATTTATTGTTGTCACATGTACCAAGACACAGTGAAAAGTATTATTTTGTGCATAACCAGAGAAATCATACCTTAATTTTAATGTGAAACAACACTGTGCTTTGAGTAGTATAGCTGCTACACAATTACTCAAAATGTTTAGCTCAATGAACAGGTTTTACTGTTGTAACCATTACTCCTTCTACCATAGCCAAAACAATGAATTGAACAGGTTATTAAAGCCTGTCACATTAGAATCAACAAGTGGATGTCTGGATTCTACATGAAAGGAAACACGCTGCTCTGATTCTCTGGTAAAAAGGTGATAAAGTGGAGGTCAAAATCAAGATCTGTGAAGCAACTTTGAAAGCAAAAATAATTGTTCTATCTATTCCAGGGATGTCAAAAATAGGTTTTTGCCCAACTATGTACAGGGTTGAAATTACAGGAAATTCAATAGTAACTGTGGTCACTCATACAATTGTCAGAAGTCAAAGCAAATTACTTTTTTTGCAGCTTGAAGCCTATGCATAATGATCCTTGGATTCTCAATAAACAATCATTTTCCTGTTAATGTATACTTATGTCTTTACTCCATTGTTTTTTTCTTAGAGTCTTGAGGCTCCCAATGCTTATTTTAAAAACACTCTTCAATTAATAAAAAGGTTGTCAACTGCTGGTCTAAATGCACAAGATTAAGGAATTATTCACCAGTGTGTAACAATGTAACATCTGCTGTCTAAATTTTTCAATCCTGCTTCATTCATTGTACAACTACTATAACAAGGTTGTGAAATACACAGCATTGGGGCAGTGGAAGCAGAGGAGGGTGGGCTGAATAGGCCGGGGGCTATTTTCCCTGGAATGTCAGAGGTTGAGGGGTGACCTTATAGCAGTTTATAAAAATCATGAGGGGCACGGATAGGGTGAATGACAAGGATTTTTCCCCCCAGGATAAGGGAATGCAAAACTAGAGGACATAAGGTTAAAGGTGAGAGGGGAAAGATTTAAAAGGGACTTAAGGGACAACATTTTCACGCAGAGGGTGGCGTGTGTATGGAATGAGCTGCCAGAGGCAGTGGTGGAGGCTGGTACAATTGGAGAGAGATGACTGGTGGTGAGGGGAAGAGAGAGTTGAGAAGGCTGGACCTTCATGGTGACCTCAGCTGGTGTGGGAATTGAACTTACACTGTTAGCGTCACTCAGCATCACAAACCAGCCAACTAGCTAACTAAGCAAACCATCCTCTGTGTGCAAGTGTACATACATACCTCTTTGTAACAAAATTTCTTTGGATATGTTTGATTGGCATCACTTGTAATTTACTTACTTCCTTCAACTTTCAGGCAAGTCTTCTTAATTATAGGCATTTTGAGAGCACTATGGTGGACTTGAACCTGGAGGATAGCTTGATTATCTGTATTTATATCAGGCCAGAACAAAACTTCACAATTCATGCTGGTGCTACCATCGTTGTTGTGTTTAACAGTCGGCACCTTAAAATTAAAGGATTTATCTTCTTCAATTTGAGATGTATGTTCTGAAATTAGTTTCTTCTGCTCATGTGGTCCAGAATCCTGTAAGCTCTGAGGTGTGGAGCTCCATGAATAAATTACATTTGATTCCCTACTATTTTTTCTTTGTAGCAACCAACAAATAGAAATGTTCTCAGGTTTATATCCGGAAATCTGACAATTCATGAGAGCCTCTTGGAAATGTATAATTCTTGGAGGTTGGCTGATAGCAGAAACTTTTGGAGGAACTATAAAAGAAACACCTGAATATTTATCCACTCTTTACCACAGGGTCAGTCATCTCAAAACATCAATATTAATTTATCCTATGATAAAATACTGTTACTGGAATAACAAAGATCAACGACAGTAGGTTCACATATAAATAGTAATGAAATTAAATAACATTTCTCATTGAAATAGATTTGTCTTGACCAAAATAATCATTAGCCTCCTTAAAGTTAAAATAAAGTTCTGGGAGATAGGGAGACACAAACAGACAGATCATCTACCAAATAGAAAATTAAGGCAGAAGAGCAGAAAATTTAGGACATAAGGATATAAATAAGTAAACAAACAGAGTAGCAGAGATCAGTAACGTATGGTGGAAGCCAGTGTTTCACAATGTAATGAGAAAGATTATCCGAGCAAAAGATTGATCTACAGGGAAATCAGGTAAAAAGAGGGGTATGGGGGAGAAAGAACAGTAGACATAAGATCAGACAACAAACACAATGTGAGTCACAAATCCCCAGAAGGGAGAGGGATGACAAAATAGAAACACATTATGCACACAAAAGATAGACAAAGCTATGGTGAATTGACAGAGACAGAACAAAGAATAACAGTTCAGGAGCTCAAAATACATTTTTAAAAAAGTGTAAGATAGTTGTGAAAACAAAGAGGTGACAGCATGACTGTTCATACAAAACTAGGGTAGCAAAGAAGTGGTCATTTTTGAGCTTCTTTCCATGCATTTAATTTGCTCCTCAGTTCAGAGCTATTTCATCTCGAGTCAAATGCTGAAGCCAGAGGACAGAAGTGCATGACATTGTAAAGATATTTAATTTTCCTCCTTTACTGGACATTTGTAGCTTTAAACTAAGTTGTTCAGATATAAACAAATCCAAAGTAGCATTATTTTGAAAAATATTTAATTTGGTAACTTTAATCTAATGATTACTTTGTCACATTATTATCCACCGATCATTTACAAATACTTAAAGTTTTACTGAAAATCTGAAGTTTATTTTATGAGCAAACCCGTGGTATCGGGCCTCCTTCTCTATACACTGCACTAATGTTGCTTGTTGTATAATTTTAGTTTCAATGCTGATATAGTCAGATGCTGCTGTGTTCCAAGAAAAGCATTCTAAACAAAAACTCCAACACAGATGAGCCATCATGCTACAAAGCAAGAATTATCTAATATTTTGCACATTCTGTACTCTTAAAGTGAATTGAAGGATATGTTACCTTTTTTAAGGTACTTCAGATACACAAAAAATCCAATGACTGCAATTGCTGTACACGCCAATATGCTAAAGATTACACATCCATTTATTATCCCTACTGGTACAACAACTTCTGGCTCTGTCGGTAAAATAAACAGTTGTTTTAACAGTGAATAGCAAAATAGAGCAATATCTGAAAATTGAGACTTATTCCAAAACAATGGTTTAAAGTATATAAAACTACAAATGCATTGTAATTTGATAGAGAAAACTGAACATCTCATGTTAGCATCTTCACAGTTGTAAATAACATTAGTTTATTTCCAGCAACTGTCAGTCAGCATTTTCAACATTTCTTGAACTTACATGAACTCCAGAATTTGAAGATTTATAAAAATTCTTCAGCATCATCACCAAAAGGTTGATTAAAAAAAGGGGAAAAAAAAATGAATGTGAACTAGGTAGATATTTAACAACAGACTGCAGCAGCTTTTACAACATTAAAAAAAAGAAGAGAATTGCTAATGCAAATGTTGGTGCCTTAGAAACAGAGAGAGAAGAAGTTATGGAGAAAGAAATGGCAGAGATTATGAACAAATGAAAAAAACAGAAAAAAGCTCAGCAGGCCTGGCAGCATAGATCATAGAATCCCTACAGTGTGGGGACAGGCCCTTCAGCCCAACAAGTCCATGCTGACCCTCACAGCATCCCACCCAGACCCATTCCCCCTATAACCCACCTAATCTACACATCCCTGAACACTACGGGCAATTTAGCATGGCCAATCTACCTAGACTGCACATCCTTGGACTGTGGGAGGAAACCGGAGCACCCAGGGGAAACCGGCACAGACACGGGGAGAATGTGCAAACTCCACACAGACAGTCACCCAAGGGTTGAATCGAACCAGAGTCCCTGGTGCTGTGAGGCAGCAGTGCTAACCGCTGGGTCACCGTGCCGCCCTCAAAGAGAACAACAGCATCTGCGAAGAGAAATCAGAGTCCACGTTTTGGGTCTAGTGACACTTCCTCAGAACAGAGGAGAGAAGAGATTTCAGGGGCTTAAATCCAACAAATTGGCAAGTTGGTCAAATGGACAAACACCTGACAGTTGAATTTCAATGCAGAGAAATGTGAGGTAATGCATTTTTTATAGAAGAACACGGACAGACAATGCAGGCTCAACAGGACAACTCAGAGGGGAGTATACGAGCAGAGGGACCTCAGGATTCAAATGTATAATTCTCTGCAGGTGGCTAGGCAAGTTGAAATTGTTAAGGCAACTTATAAGATCCTGGAGTTTATAAATAGAGGCACCATCAACTTGAGTCCAGGTGGATATGTTGCCTGTCTAGTAAGAGGAACAATGATGTCACTGAACAACTGCATGATGTTCTTCTTGGAGAGGATGAACAGCCAGAGGTTGTGATCCAAATTAGTATTAACAACAAAGGCAGGAAGGGGGATGAGGTCTGCAATCAAAATTGAGCGAGTTATGGAGAAAAATAGTAAGCAGACTTCTAAAATAGTGATCACCAGATTATTCTCAGTGCCAAATGAGTAGAAATAGGCAGATGCATCTTGACTGGAAAGCTCATGAAGGAAGGAGAGCTTTAGATTCCTGGAACGCCAGGACTGACTCTTGAAAGATGGTGCCTGTGCAAGCCATATAGCCCACCCCTGACAGAACGCAGGGCATTTTACTGGTGTGGTTAGGAAAGGTTTAAAAGAATTCAGTAGGACATGGAAACAGAAGGCAGAAAGTAATATCAAGGAACATAAAATGCCAAAGAGAGGCTGCTAGTGCAGAAGTAGAGAAAAATAAGTTAATAAATGAAGTCGGAATAAGGGTGTAAGTAATGAAGTCTAAAATCAGAATTAGACTGCACGGATGTGAATTCACAGAACATCATTAAAATTGGAGAGTTATAGCTACAGATTGCCACATTGAATTACGATGTCTCTATAAGGACAGATACCTGTGTCAAGGAAGAGCAGGTATAAGTGTTAAATATTCCTGGTTACAAGGTGTCCATAAATATAAGAAAGGAAATAAAGGGAGGGGTGGTGTTTCAGGTTAAGAAGAAGATTGCAATACTAGAGAAAGAGGATTTTTTCAGAGGTTAGGGACAGAAATGATTTGGTGAGAGCTTAGGAATAAAAAGGGTGCATTTGCATTACTTAGCGCAGACTTCAAACCATCAACTAGTGGGAAAGATACAGAGGAACATATCTGCAGGGAAATGACAAAGAGATGCTAACAGTGAGCAGTTATAAAGAGGGACTTTAATTATTCATATATGAGATATCTCCTTATTTAATTTATGGGATAGGAGATAATGGTACTTGAAAGGTCAGGAAGGAGCAACCGTTGCTAGATTGCGTTCAGGAGAATTTCTTACCATAGTCTGTGTTCAATCCAACAAGAAACAAGGTACTGCTAGACCTATTTCTTGATCTACTTAGCCCACCTGATTCTCATGTGACAGTGGAGGAACATTTAGTGGACAGTGATCTTGTATCACAAGGTTTAGGATAATGGTAGAAAATGACACTGATCATCCAGAGCAAGAATAACCAACTGGCACAGTTGGGCTGAATAGACTGGAACCATCGACTGGTGGGATAAACACCAACTGATCGATGGGCTATCTTCAAAAGGGAGATGGTTTGAACACAGTCAGGATAAATCCACTCAAAATGGTAAAAAAGCTAAGACAAACAAATCTAGAGCTCCCTAGATGAGATAGAAGAAAAATCATGATGTACGTAAGGTAGTAAATGCAATTGAGAACCAAGCCAAATACAAATCGTTCAAAAGGGAGGTGAAGAGGCAAATAAGAGCAAAGAGAGATAATAATTAACAAAAAAGCAGGCAGCTAACAAAATAAAATACCAAAAAGTCTTCCATAAGAACATCAACAGTAAATTGGTGACGAAAGGAGAAGCAGGGCTGATTAGGAATCAAAAAGGGGATTTAGACAGAGGCTAAAGGCATAGCTGAGGTGTTAGATGAACACACTGCATCTATCACTGAGGTGGTTGCTACCTATGCCATTGTGACACAGGAGGAAACTCAATCTAGAAGGGCTTACAATCAATCAGGAGGTATTAACTAAGTTTTCACTACATAAAGTTCATGAGGCATTGGGATCAGATGAGCTGTATCTGAAGATAAGGAAGTGAAAGTAGAAATTGCAGAGGTACTGGCAATAATCTTTCAAGCTTGCCTGGATTCAGGAAACATTGTGCCCTTGTTCCAAAATTTTTTTTGAGTAATCGACATAACAATTACAGACCATCTGATTTATCTGTAGTGGTGGGGGAATCTTGAGAGAAATTATTCGGGATAAGATTAATAGGCAAAAATGAAAATTGTGGATTAATTTGGAAGGGTTAGCATGGATTTATTCAAGGAAGGTCATATCTAACTAACGTGTAGTGTTTTTGAAGAGATAACATCAAGGGTTGACGAGAGCAAGGCTGTTGATGTGAAGTACATGGATTTGCAAAATTCTTTCAATACAGTGCTATCAGCAAACTTGCAAAGCAAGTTGTAAGTCATGGAGTTAAAGGGACAGTAGCAAGAATTGGGTGAGGGATAGGAAATGGTTAATGGATATTTTTGGGCTTGAGGAAGTTGTGTAGTGGAGTTCCTGAGAAAATTGGAGAAAGAAAAAGGATAATAATTGCAGACAATAATAACTGGAGCCTTTGCTTTTCCTATACATAAATAATTTCTGTCTCCTCACGGTTCCTAGATGTTGATGTAAAGAAGGGCAGTGCAGAACTTCTAAAGGCCATTCATTGATAGTTGCTGCAGTGGACAACAGGCAGCCGATGATGTTGAATACAGAGAAGAGAGAGTTGACGCTTTTTGGTACAAAGAACATGGAGGGACAGTGCAAAACCAAGGATATGATTCTAAAGGGTGTGCAGGAGAAGAGAGACCTTGGTGTGTATATATACACACAAGTCATTAAAAGATGCCAGGACAGATCATGACAGCTGTTAATAAGGCATACAGTTTTCTAGGCTTCATTACAGGGTCATAACGCATAACAGGAGGGATATTGTGCTGAACATATAAAGGACACAAGTTGGACCTCTGCTGCAGCACTGTGTACGGTTCTGGACACCACACTATAGGACAGATGTGATTGCACTAGACAGTGCATAGAAGAGACTTATGAAAACGTTCCAGAATGAGAAACTTCCTAATGATTGGAATATTTAGGACTGTTTTCCTTAGACGGAGGAGAGTTGAAAAAAGTTTTCAAATCTTGAGGGGTCTAGAGTGGATAGGGAGAAACTGTCCTCACTTTGTAAAAGGATTCAGAACCAGAGGGAACTGTTTGTAAGGCTTCTGCAAAAGAAGCAAATTCAAAATGAGAAGAAACTTGTTCACAAGTGAGTCGTGAAGGTTTGAAATGCTCTGCCGAAAGTGTGATGAAGTCAGGTTCAATTGAGACGTTCAAGGTGGTATTAGATGGTTATTTAAATAAAAGTAAAAAGTAACAAGGTAAAATAACCATAGGGCTGCTCTCTCATTCAAGAAAGAAACAACTGATGGTAGTTTTACCAGAAGCACACCACACCTCAGGCAAAGGGAGAGATTGAGAAGGAGAATCCTTCAATGGTAACCTTACACGCTGTGGGAATTGAAACCATGCTGTTTACATCACTGTGTGGCAAACCTGCCATCCAGCCAAATGAGCTAACCTAAACCCAAAACGATGAGTGAAGTGCAGGCATTGCTGGAATGCGAATCCAGGATCACTGTTTATTGGACTGGCACTTTAGTCAACCAAGCCATGGCACCAACAGTAGAAACAGTGCACACAGTTATGAGGAACTGCAAAAGGATTGGCATTAAATGTTCAGAGGGCAGGTGTTGGCATAATGGGTCAAATGACTGCCTTCTGCACTGTAACAATTCAAGGAGTTAGAGGTGTGAAAGTGCAGTTGAAGCTAGAGATCAGCCATTATCCTATTGATGGAACAGGCTCAACAGGTTAATATGGTCAACTTTTAGTCCTATTCCATAGGCTTGGGTGTGTCAGCAATATTTCCAAAATGATCTTGAGGACAAGAGGCAGGCAGCATGGGTTCACATGGAAAAGGAAGAAGAAAGAGTAACACAAGAGGAAAAAAAAAGTCACAAATCAACTCTGGAAATGAAGTGACTGAAAAATATTTAATTAGTCAGGTCAAAGTTGAAATTAGTTTTGTTGGGATATCGAGAGATGAAGCTCAAGTTCTTGTGGAAGGATGTTTTGAGGTTACTTAATAGTTAAATGAATGAACAAACAAACAACAAATCTAGTTAGGAATCCTGGATTGTTTGAGATAATCCAGAATCAATATAAAAATATTAACAATGCCGATTTCAACCACCTTGGCTTGATGATGAACATCTAAGTTACAACCAAGAACGAAATCCAGGTTACATTAGCTATAGTTAGAAGCATGACAAAATTACATAAGTAATATCTTAAACCAAATGCATCAACATGATGCTGAAAAAGACCCTGCAGTCAATAGTGCAAAACATTGCACTCTAAGGGATATGAAAGGTTGATTCTGAAGAAAGAAGATGAGAGGAAGATAACAGCTTTTGAAACATGTGTGGCAGAGGATACTCAGCCAGTTGGAAGGATACAAAGATTGAGTTAGATCAAGAGTAGAAGTTCAAAAATCTAAAAGGGCTGTTAATCAGAATTAGAGGGAGAAAGATTGATAAGTACAGACTTTGGAAACAAAGACACTGCAGCCCTGAACTGAAGCAACTGGAGTAATTAAGCAAAAAAAAGGCAAAGAAGAAAGGCTGAATAGATGGCTGCTGTTGAAACATGAGGGAAGACTGAACAAAGGCAGAGAGGAAGCAAGACGTTAATCAATGTTTGCAGTAACATTATGATGAAAATGAACAAGTGATTAACAGCAAGGTGTTGTCCCAGTTTAGATGGTATACTGGCAATATTGACCAAGTTCTAAAAGGTATGGGACCAGATTTTGCTGCTGTGGGGAATTTTAAAGCATTTTAAAGACAAGTTTGCTGAGGTATGATCAGAAAACAATGCTGCAAAGAAAGAGTAACTGGGATATTAGTCCAAAGCAGAACAAACACCTTATTTCTCTAAACAATGAGAATCAAGGATTGAGAACAAAGTGAGAAAGGACAAGGAAGGAACATGAAATAGCCTGGGTTAATTGAATGTCAAATCAAGTTAAGGAAGAAGGATTTGATACAGAAAGGTAGGACTTATACAGTAAATCCTGTAGATCCTGAGGAGTGTTGTGGAACAGAAGGGTCTAGGAGTACAGGTACATAGTTTGTTGAAAGTGGCGTCACAGGTGGACAGGATGGTGAAGAAGGCATTTAGCATGCTGGCCTTTGTCGGTCAAAGCACCGAATGTGGGAGTTGGGACGTTATGTTACAGTTGTGTAAGTTGTTGGTGAGGCCGCACTTGGAGTATTGTGTACAGTTTTGGTCTCCCTGTTATAGGAAAGACATAGTTAAACTTGAAAGTGCAAAAAGATTTACAAGGATGTTACCAAGACTAGTAGGCCTGAGTTGCAGGGAGAAGTTGGCCAGGATAGGACTTTATTCCTTGGAACATAGGAGAATGAGGGGCACAGATAGGATGAACGCATATAGTCTTTTTCAACTAGAGGGTATAGGTTTAAGGTGAGAGGGGAAAGACTTAAGAAGGGCCTGAGGAGCAACTTCTTCATGCAGAGAGTGGTGCGTACATAGAATGGGCTGCCAGAGAAAGTGGTTGAGCCAGGTACAATAGCAACATTTAAAAAGTATTTAGATAGGTACATGGACCAAATGCGGGCAATTGGAACTAGCTGAGTGGGCACCATGGTCAGCATGGACCAGTTTGGGCCAAAGGGCCTGTTTCCATGCTGTATGACTCCATGACTCTATGATACTAAAGCATCTGAAAAGATAGAAAAACAAAGGCAAAAACATTAAGATTTAAAATTTTAAAAACAACCTAAAATAACTATTCACAATCAGGAAGAATGAGAGATCACACTTATGAGTGCCCACTTACTAGGACAGACAGCTTGATTGCCAGTCCTTAACAATAATCTTACTGTTAAAAGCTACTTATGCTGATTATTAGAATTAACTTTCTGTGGTAAATTTAACAGATAATTAGTATACAAGCACAGCAAATTCATGGAAATCATGAGAAGGTTAGCATTTTTACAAAACTAATCACACAGCTCGAAAAAAAAATCAACTAGCAACTTGTATTGGTTCTCAGTTCACAGGATGTAACTTCTTTGCTACAAGTCGCTGGTTAATTTACACTTGTCAGCAAAAGCTCCCTTTTCCTTCTAAGCAAAATATGGCCCATTGCTACAATTGCTCCTGACTATTTGGAAAGCCAACAGAAGTTATGTACTTATGTAGGGATATAGGGCAAGTTTAAAAAGGGAAGTGAAACGTTTAACCAAGCAAATGGCAATTTCTTTTCATGTAGCTAAAAAATAGAAAATCTCATGACATGTAAATTATTTTAAATGCTTTACCACTACAATAGCGCTTTTCAAAATTGTCGAGTGTCAAACTTGTGGAAAGGCAACACATCTTGTACAATAGGAATTACTGAACCACTCAGGGCTGTTCTGGTGATATTTTTCTTTCAAGTTTTTTCAGAAAGCTTGATAGGCTATAGCTATCATCAAATATTTTGTTCAAGCATTGTTGAAATGCCAAACTTGAAACTCAGTTTTGGAAAGCTGTTAATTGTGGAAAACTTTAAATCAAACTTGATACAGCCATCAAACACCATAAGCACAACTTTCAATAGGGTTTATTTAGTTAATGTAAATTTCAAGTTATTACCAAAACAGGGGCACTGAAGTTTCAGTTTAAAAATGGACCAAATAAATCCACAATTTGAAATTTAAGCACAAATACGATTCAGTTCAAAATTCCCCTTTGCCTATTTCATCAATGCCACTAATCGTAAACCACAGAAGAATTTCAAATGACTACGTTAAACCTTCATGTGTAATAAGAGTAAAATTTCAGTGTTCTTTTTGTAGCTGCATTTTCTAACATAAACCAGACTTCAGGTACAAGTTCACGAAAACATAAAACATACCTTTGACAGTCAGTTGGGCTTCCAGTTTTAAATCCTTATTAAGTGATGGGTGTTTTACATAGCAGATATAAATATTGCCACTGTCTTCAAGGGTTGGTCTCAACCTCAGTCGGCTGGAAACGCTGTAGGTTCCATTTTCATGTTGAACTGGGGATCCTGTGCAGATGTGTTTTGAAAGCATTTGTTCCTCGTTTTTAGTTTTCTGTATCCAGCCCATCTCAATTGAGACAGGATAAAAATCAACACTGTCACATTTCACTGATTTCTCCGTACCATGTTCAATTGTGATTGCAGTTGAAGATAAGCTTACCTTTGGCAGGGCTGCAAATAACAATATATCAGATGTTTAATATTTGACGTAAGTATTCACCCGTTCACATCCTCTGGTTATGTGATGATTGCACAGATTGAAATGTCTGGTGTTCAAAATATCCTTTCCTCACAGCTGTCCTCTCTCACTGCTCCTTTTATTCCTGTTGCTTCATGGTCCCATACAACTTTGTCACTGGTCTGTCTGTTCTCAAAGGTTAGTGACAGGCTGTTGACTGATGTATTCTGTTTTGGATACTCCAGTTTGTTCCAAAAAGTAAGATTTTCAAGAGATAACTATGCTTTATTAAAATTAATATTTTAGGAGACATGGTGGCCCACTAGAATTGAAAAGTATCGATGTACTGGGTTCTGTTCTAATACATGCTTTGGTTGTGCTGTCACCTGCCCCTTTGCAATGCTGTATTTTTATCTCATCGAAAACCTCCTGCAATCAAGACGAAGGCTGAACACACAAGTGTTGCTCCAGCTGTCAAAATTGCACATTTCTAGCCTTATAGCTAGCCGTGCTGTGCTGTCTGTAATTCATATATCTTAACTGTTTTGAAAAAGCCAACTACTTGCTAACTGACAAAGTTTTCAGTTCACATCTCCTATGTCACAAACTTCTCCAAGATCAATTTTGAGAACAAACATATTTGTGTTGATTGACTGCCCTTCTTTCATAGTGCATCATCTAGAGGCATGAGAGAGAACAGGAATAGAGAAGGTAACTAATGACTTGTTTCATTGAGCAAGTGGTCCTTCAGCTTCCCGGTCACGAGAGACCAATAACTTAATGTTCTGATAAGCATATCATGGCCTGACTGGCATGGGACTTCTGCCTAATAGCAACACAGTCTAACCAATATCTAATGCCTGTCAAGCAGCAGCAAAGTGAATTCCTTCTTTGCTCAACTGGGGGCAGATGACACATTGTGGTCTAGCAAGCATTAAGCATACTCACACCTACAGCTACAACTTTGTCAAAGTTCAATATTGCATGGCTCAAAACAAAACCCAACAGCATTAATATGCCCTGACTGTGGCCGATTTGCTACATGTGGCAAGTGCAATGGACAGCACTGCAATAGATTGCTCATAGTTGTGTGCAGATGGTATCATTAACTATTTTCAGCTGACCCATTTTAAATTTAATGCAGTCACAATTCAGCAGACAATAAGAATCAGGTAGTGACTCTTACCTGAAACAGTCATTGATGACTTTCCACTTCCATTGTCTGGGGTTATAAAAACAACACAAGTGTAATCTCCCGCTTCAGAGAGTTGCACATTTGGAAGAAAAAGGGAAGCTATTCCTTTCTTCAAATGATCCTCAATAATTGTGGCTCCTTTTCTGTATGGTATATGTTTGCCAGCAATGAATTGATAAACCTCTCTTTTCTGTGTATCTAGAGAGCCTGATTTTTGGTAGAACCACTGGACTCCCATGTTTTTAAGGTCAATTTCTCTTCTGTAGTCAGAAACTCGGCACTCCAGAACAACATCTTTATTTACGGTGGCTTTCACAATTCCTGAATTCATCGACACAATTAGGTCACCTTGTTCTGCAACAATCAAGATCAAAATTATCAGTATAGATAATTCACCCAGCAGCCCAATTATTTTGATAATGATGCTATCAGAACAATATGTATCTTGAACATTAAGTCCTGAATCAACTGAAGGATTACTGTCATTTCAACAATTCCATCAACATCCTGCATTTGTAGAACACCTTCGACAACAATAATGCACCAAGCATTGCAGAAAAAGAAAACACTAAAAGTTCAATGCTCAGACAAAACAGGAGCCTAGATGATGTCAAAAGATTGTATGAGGGTCTTCATAAAACAAATGAGGCCCAAGTGTGTATTCTAATGTCACTGGACTAGTAACTCAAAACCGAGATATGGGCATATCTGGCTAGGCTAGAATTATTTGCCTAGAACTATTTGTCACCGGACCCGAGACGTTAACGCTGTTTTCTCCTTCACAGATGCTGCCAGACCTGCTGAGCTTTTCCAGCAACTTTGTTTTTGATTTACAGCATCTGCAGTTCTTTTAGTTTTTATCTGAGTAAAAGGGTTCAACTTCCATCAGTGCAGATGGTCCAATCTGAATTCAATAGAAGGAGGAATTAAAAAATAGCTCTACAATAAAATGCAACCACTGCTGATAATTGTGAAAAAACACACTGGCTCATTAACGTCATTTAAGGAAGGATGCTGCTGTTTTTACCTGCTCTGGCCAACATGCAACTCCAGACCCAGAGCAACTCTCAAGTGCCCTCTGGGCATTTAGAGATAGGCAAATAATTCTAGCCTAGCCAGATATGCCCATATGTCAAGAATAACATTTAAAACAAAGGTATAGATAAAAACGTGGAAGTAGACGGTCTTTGGCATGAAGAGAAAACGAGGTCAGAATTCCAACTTGGGATCAAACAAGACATTGCAATTGTAAATAGGATGGCTGAAACTGAGAGAATTCAACTAAGATAAAGGTGCCTATACTGCAGTGAGGGCATGGCTTAGTGATTTTCAATTTAAAGAAATTTCAACCTGTTTTTGATTGAACTGGATGTCAGACAAGCAAGCTGAGAGAGAAAGTGGCAGAGTTTGAAGAAAAGTGGTGGTGGTGTCAAGCTGGGTGTGATTGGTGTACAAGTAGACAAAGATAGTATGTCTTCATTATATATCACCTAGGCACCATATAGTTGAAAATAAGGTTAGACCAAGGATAACTCCTCAAATATCTCCAGAGGCAAAGTTGGACAGATGTCACGACTTTTATAGCCATTTTGAGAAGAGAATATTGGCAACAAACATTTCCTAATCAGCACAAAGATGCTAGGTGCTTAGCTATGAAGGGTAGCTGCTTTCCCTATTTCCGTCTGTGTTCCAAAAAAAGTACTTAGTGACAAAGCAGCGCTTAGTGAAAATTTTACCTGCTGGAAATTGTAACGTTATCAACATAGTATTTGCCCGTCGAAACTGGGGGCTTCCACAAGCAGTGAATACATTGTTTGAAGAGAAAATTAAAAGAAAGCAAGCAATAGACGTAAGATATTCACACAGCTCATTAAATTGGTTGCCTTGCATTTTCATGATGTTTAGCTAAGGAGAGAGGCTTCAGGAACTCAGGTTATTACCATTGCTACAGGGAAGGCTGAAAGGAGACCTAAGCGAGATATGTAAGATTATGCGGGACAAGGACAGGGTGAACAGAAAGCAGCCATTGCCCTTAGTTAAACAGTCAATAATAAGGAGGTGTGAATTTAAGGTGACAAACAGGAGGCTTAGAGGGAGTTTGGAGGTATTTTCTCTCACCCGGAGAGTGGTGGAAATCTGGAATGCACTGCACGGGAAGGTAGTTGAGTTGGGAAACCTCAAAAGTCTTTAAAAGGTACATGGATGAGCTCTTGAAATGTCATAACGTTGAAGGCTGGGGGCCAAGTGATGGTTTGGGGGTCTAGTGTAGACTTAGAGTAGTCTTTCTTTGGTACAGACTCCATGGACCTCTAATGTACAGTATGATTCCACAACCCCGTATTAAAGCAGGCTGTGCCCAGGTAGTTGATGGGGCACTGGGTCAGAACCTCAGATCAGGAGCTATGGAGTGAAACCAAGATCCTACCAGTGATCAGCGCCCAGCGGCCAGCTGTCAAACAGCCCGTGCATGGCAGAATAACGACATATATTTTTGAAAGGGATAGTAGGAACTGCAGACGCTGAAGAATCTGAGATAACAAGGTGTAGAGCTGGATGAACACAGCAGGCCAAGCAGCATCAGAGGAGCAGGAAGGCTGACGTTTTGCGTCTAGACCCTTTTTCTGAAACCTCAGCTTTCCTGCTCTTCTGATGCTACTTGGCCTGCTGTGTTCATCCAGCTCTACACCGTGTTATATCATATGTTTTTGAAACACGTTATTCAAACTAATGTCATTTCCGTAACGAAAGTAAAAGTAAAATAGGTACAATTGTATTTTAAAAAGCGCAGAAGTGCTGAAAGTCACTGGCCCCGAAACATTAATTCTGTTTTCTCTCTCCAGATGGTGAATTTCTGAGTTTCTCCAGCTCGACGAAGAATTTAGGCTTTACTTAGCCAATTTCAAAACAAAACATATTAAATAGAGGCCTTGGATAGGAAATGCCCATCTCCTATTTTACACCTGGGGAAAGTGCACGGACAAAGTACAAAGCTTGAACTTTTGCGCCCAGCATTCCTGAAGCCGGCCGAATGGCCGCTCCCCCTATCCCCGACCTTTACCTGAGTGCGGTACCAGGGTCAGCAGCACTAACACCGGGACCAGAGGCGGCAGCGAGCTCCTCACCGAGCCCATGGCCCCCCTCTCTCTGTGTGTCCCGACCCCGCGCTTCTCTCGTTGGAAACCCCGACAACACGAACCAGCAGCTTCCACTCCGCCCGAGTTTCACTTTCACCGAGTTACGGCCGGGTTTGGGCGGAGCTGACTGTCCAATTTCCACCGCTGGGGGGCGCAGCGATTGCAGAGTCAGCTTGGTGAAGGTGGATCCAGTCCCGAAACTGAGTACCCACATTAATCATTGTATAACATCATATCTGTTTTAATAAGAAAATATACAAGCTCATCAGAACTACTCTTGGGTACGACTACTGAATTTAAATCTATTAAATCAAAACACCCCAACCAGAACAACCTAAAAACGTAGAGATAACAAGAACTGGAATCTGAGCTTCAAACACTGCAGCACATCCGGGAGGGGGAGAGTTACCTGGACGCTTTGTTTCAGGAGGCAGTCACACCTGGTAGATTAAGTAATTCAAATTCAGTTAGTGATCAGGGACAACAGGGTGTGACTGCAAGTGAGGCAGGTAGGGGGATCCTGAGTTCAGGAGTGGAGGAGCGTCAGCTTTTGACCTTATCCAACAAGTGCGAGATACTTGCTCCCTGTGTGGATGAGGAAAAGGGCTGCGGGGAGGATGAGCCAGCTCACCATGGCACCATGGTGCAGAACACCATTCAAGAGGGGGGAGCAGAAAGACAAGTGGTAGTTATAGGGGATTCTATAGTTAGGGGGATAGATAGTATCCTTTGCAAGCTGGATCGGGAGTCCCGCATGGTGTGTTGCCTGCCTGGTGCCAGGGTGCAGGACATCTCTGACCGGCTGGAAAGGATATTGGAGCGGGAGGGGGAGGATCCAGTTGTTGTGGTCTACGTTGGGACTAACATAGGCAAGGCGAGGATGGAGGACCTGTTTGGGGATTATCAAGCACTAGGAACGAAATTAAGGAACAGGTCCTCGAGGGTCATAATCTCCAGATTACTGCCTGAGCCACGTGCAAATTGGCTTAGGGATAAGAAAATTAGGGAAGTAAACACATGGCTAAGGGAGTGGTGTGGGAAAGAGGCGTTCCATTTCATGGGGCATTGGCATCAGTTTTGGAACTGGAGGGATCTGTACCGATGGGACGGTCTCCACCTGAACCGATCTGGAACCAGTGTTCTAGCGAAAAGGATAAATAGGGTGGTCACTAGGACTTTAAACTAGTGAGTTGGGGGGAAGGGAAAGGGAAAACGACAGGAGTATAATGGTAAATAAAAAGGTAAGCAGCAGGTTAGCATGTGTGCAGGAGGGTTTAAGTTCAAGGCAGACTATGAAAGAAGCAAAAAGGAAGGATAACTCAGGAGATATTATTAGAGATGTTGGAAATCATGAGGGTAAGAAAGTCAGCATAAAGGCACTTTACCTGAATGCTCGTAGCATTCGTAACAAGGTTGCTGAGTTAACGGCACAAATCATCGCGAATGAATATGATTTGGTAGCCATTATGGAGACATGGTTACAGGATGGTCACGACTGGGAGTTAAATATCCAAGGGTACCAGACTATTTGGAAGAACAGACAGGAAGGTAAGGGAGGTGGTGTAGCTCTGATATTCAAGGACGACATCAGGGCGGTGCTGAGAGATGATATAGGTTCTATGGAGAATGAGGTTGAATCCATTTGGGTGGAAATTAGAAATTCTAAGAGGAAAAAGTCACTGATAGGCGTAGTCTATAGGCCACCAAATAATAACATTACATTGGGGCGGGCAATAAACAAAGAAATAACTAATACCTGTAAAAATGGTACGGCAATTATCATGGGGGATTTTAATCTACATGTAGATTGGTCGAACCAGCTCGGTCAGGATAGCCTTGAGAAGGAGTTTGTTGAGTGTATCCGTGATAGCTTTCTTGATCAGTATGCAATGGAATCGACGAGGGAACAAGCTATCCTAGATCTGGTCCTGTGTAATGAGACAGGAATAATTAATGACCTCATAGTTAGGGATCCTCTTGGAAGGAGTGATCACAGTACAGTTGAATTTAGAATACGGATGGAGAGTGTGAAGATAAAATCCAATACCAGGGTCCTGTGCTTGAACAAGGGGAACACAATAGAATGAGGGAGGACTTGGCTAAAGTAGACTGGGAACAAAGATTTTATGGTGGGACAGTTGACGAGCAGTGGAGGACTTTCAAAGCAATTTTTCAAAGTGCTCAGCAAAAGTATATTCCAGTGAAAAGGAAGAACTGGAAGAAAAGGGGTAATCTGCCATGGGTGTCTAAAGAAATAAGGGAGGCTATCAAATTGAAAGAGAAGGCATACAAAGTGGCCAAAAACAGCATGAAACTAGAAGATTGGGAAAACTTTAAAGGTCAACAGAAAGCCACAAAAAGAGCTATAAAGAAAAGTAAGATAGAACATGAGAAAAAACTAGCACAGAATATAAAGAGAGATAGCAAAAGTTTCTATAAATATATAAAACGAAAAAGAGTGGCTAAAGTAAACGTTGGCCCTTTAGAGGATGAGAAGGGGAGTTTAGTTATAGGATATGATGAAATGGCCGAGGCATTGAACAGGTATTTTGTATCGGTCTTCACAGTGGAGGACACTAATAACATGCCAGTAATTGACAAAGAGACGAAGGTAGGTGAGGACCTGGAAACAATCACAAATTACAGAAGAGGTAGTGTTGGGCAAGCTAATGGAGCTAAGGATTGATAAGTCTCCTGGCTTTAAGGAATGCATCCCAGGGTACTAAAAGAGATGGCGGGAGAAATAGCAGGTGCACTGGCGGTAATTTTCCAAAATTCGCTGGACTCTGGGGCAGTCCCAGCAGATTGGGAAACAGCAAATGTGATGCCACTGTTTAAAAAGGGAAGTAGACAAAAGATGGGGAATGATAGACCGGTTAGCCTAACCTCTGTAGTGGGGAAGATGCTTGAGTCTATTATCAAGGAAGAAATAGCAAGGCATCTTGATAGAAATTGTCCCTTGGGCAGACGCAGCATGGGTTCATGAAGGGCAGGTCATGCTTGACAAAGCTTTTGGAATTCTATGAAGGCATTACGAGCAAGGTGGACAATGGGGACCCAGTGGATGTGGTGTACCTAGATTTCCAAAAGGCCTTCGACAAGGTGCCGCACAAGAGGCTACTGCATAAGGATGCATGGCGTTAGGGGTAAAGTATTAGCATAGATAGAGGATTGGTTGACTAACAGGAAGCAAAGAGTGGGGATAAATGAGTGCTATTCTAGCTGGCAGCCAGTGACTAGTGGTGCGCCTCAGGGATCGGTGTTGGGACCGCAATTATTTACAATTTATATAGATGATTTGGAGTTGGGGACCACGTGTAGGGTGTCAAAGTTTGCAGATGACACTAAGATGAGTGGCAGAGCAATATGTGCAGAAGACTGTAAAACTTTGCAGAGGAACATAGATACATTGAGTGAGTGGGCAAAGGTCTGGCAGATGGAATACAATGTAAATAAATGTGAAGTCATACATTTTGATAGGAGTAATAGTAAAAAGAATTATTACTTGAATGGTAAAAAGTTGCAGCATGCTGCTATACAGAGGGACCTGGGTGTCCTTGTGCATGAATCACAAAAGGTAGGTCTGCAGGTACAACAAGTAATTAGGAAGGCAAATGGAATTTTGTCCTTCATTGCTAAAGGGATTGAAATAAAAAGCAGAGAGGTTATGTTGCAGCTGTACAAGGTGCTGGTGAGGCCACACCTGGAATACTGTGTGCAGTTTTGGTCTCCTTAGTTGAGAAAGGATGTACTGGCACTGGAGGGGGTGCAAAGGAGGTTCACTAGGTTGATTCCGGAGTTGAGGGGGTTGGCTTATGAGGAGAGACTGAGTAGATTGGGATTATATTCATTGGAATTCAGAAGATTGAGGGGGGATCTTATAGAAACATATAAAATTATGAAGGGAATAGATAAGATAGAAGTAGAGAGGATGTTTCCACTGGCAGGTGAAGCTAGGACAAGAGGGCATAGCCTCAAGATTAGAGGGAACAGATTTAGGACGGAATTGAGAAGGAACTTCTTCACCCAGAGGGTTGTTAATCTATGGAATTCCTTGCCCAGTGAAGTAGTTGAAGCTACTTCAGTAAACGTTTTTAAAGATAAGGTAGATATTTTTTTGAACAATAAAGGAATTAAGGGATACGGTGAGAACGTGGGTAAATGGATCTGAGTCCATGAAAAGATCAGCCATGATCTTATTGAATGGCGGAGCAGGCTCAAAGGGCTGGACGGCCTACTCCTGCTCCTAGTTCTTATGTTCTTATTAACTGCCCAGTTAGTTAATGGGGCACTGGGTCAGAACCTCAGATTAGGAGCCATGGAGGGAGACCAAGATCCTACCAGTGGTCAGTGCCCAGCTGTCAAACAGCCCGCGCTGGAGTCAGAGATAACAAGTGTGGAGTTAGAGGTACACAGCAGACCAGGCAGCATCAGAGGAGCAGGAAAGTTGACGTTTTGGGTCGGGATCCTGCTCCCGACCAGAAACGTCATCTTTCCTGCTCCTCTGATGCTGCCTGGTCTGCTGTGTTCCTCCAGCTCCACACTGACTGGGTCAGAACCTCAGATTAGGAGCCATGGAGGGAGACCAAGATCCTACCAGTGGTCAGTGCCCAGCTGTAGATATTTTTTTGAACAATAAAAGAATTAAGGGATACGGTGAGAATATAGGTATGTTCTCCGAGGTTCCGAGAAAGGACGGCCGTGGTCTTGGGG